AACATGGCTTCTCTTCTGTTCTTATGTCTGGGGCAAGTGATGCTCTGTATTCTTGGTGCTTGGGAGGGGCAACAGTGGGAGGGCTTCTAGTGTCCTGGCCCCACTGCTGGACCTCCTGGTGGCACCTGGTATTTTTGGCCACTGTGTGACACAGAGTGTTGGACTGGATGGGCCATTGGCCTCATCCAACATTGGCTTCTCTTCTGTTCTTATGTCTGGGGCAAGTGATGCTCTGTCTTCTTGGTCCTTGGAAGGGGCAACAGTGGGAGGGCTTCTAGTGTTCTGGCCCCACTGCTCGACCTCCTAATGGCACTTGGTATTTTTGGCCACTGCGTGACAGAGTGTTGGATTGGATGGGCCATTGGTCTGATCCAGCGTTGGTTTCTCTCATGTTCTAAAAGGGCTGGTCCGAATCAAGAGGAGGAGATCTGTCGAGAGGTGTCCATAGCTAAGAATGGAGCTTCCAGAGGCAGCTCCAGCTACCATGTGCCGGGGGTGGGTGGGTTGGCACCCTTCGTGCCTTGCAGGTGGACTTCCCAGAGGCCTCTGTCAGGCCACCGGCTGGCCCCGGGATCCTTCGATCTGACCCAACACGTATGCTATTAAGTGCTCACGAGCAGTGTTCCTTCTAAGCTGAGTTAGTGTGAGCTGGCTCACAGTTTTTTAGCCTCTGGCTCACACGTTTTTGTCTTAGCTCAGGAAGGATGGCTCCAGAGCAAACTAATTTAGGCAGTAGCCAAATTGCTCACTCACAACTTTAATGGCAGTAGCTCACAAAGTAGAAATCTTGCTCACAAGACTCCACAGCTTAGAGGGAACATTGCGAGTCACGAGAGGTGGGTCTCTCAGTGGCTGTTACGCGGGAGAGCTGAACGGTGCCTCGGTGTCCAGGGGCAGCCCTCCCTCGAATCGCGGCTGCCGGCTGACCCACCTTTGGAAACGGGACGTGGGATGAGATGGATCAGAACTGCCATGCTGGTTTTATACGCGAGGCAGCGGCAAAGCGGGGGAAATCCAACTGGAAGGCCGTGCTGCAGGTTTCTCGGCTGCCTCTCTGGCCTTTGTTTCTCCTGGCAGAGGGATTATGGGCCTTTCCAAACCTGGCTGTATGGCAGAGTGGCGTGTGGGTGTGCGGGGGACATATCTCCTCTGAGTTCACACACACACGAGCCGGAAAGACAGAGGAAAGCTGTGAATGCTCACCTTGGAGCTTTCCGGCCCTCTTTCGTCAGCGTGGTCTCGGGCACGATGCCAGCCGTTGGCCACGTTCCCCGGGCTCTCACACGCTGGGCCTTGAGCTGAGAAGGAAGACAGTTGATTGAGAACTTCAGGAAGGAGGAAGTGAGATCTTTTCTCTTTTGTTTTGGTCTCGGAGGACTGAGACGGGGCCAGGGCGCAGAGATAGCGGAAGGGCCGTCCCAAGCTGACCGAGAAGAGCCCTCCGCGTGCGTAGAGAGGAGTTTCAGGTGGCAAAATCGGCAATCAAGAAAACGCGGAATACTGAAAACTGACCGCACGGGCACAGCCCGGCCTGCGAGCTTTGGAGCCTGAGGATGAGTTTGTAGAAAACGCTGTTTGGGTGGAAAAGGCCGACAAGTCGCAGCCAACTTATGGCGGCCCCATAGGGTGTTCAGGACAAGAGAGGAACAGAGGTGGTTTGCCACTGCCAGCTTGATGTAGCGGTTAGGTGCGCGGACTCTAATCTGGGAGAACCGGGTTTGAGTCCCCACTCCTCCACATGCAGCTGCTGGTGTCACCTTGGGTCAGTCACAAGTTGTCTCAGAGCTGTTCTCTCAGGGGGCAGTTCTTGAGAGAGCTCTCTCGGCCCCACCTACCTTACAGGGTGTCTGTTGTGGGGAACGGATGGGAAAGGGGATTGTAAGCCGCTCTGAGACTCCTTTGGGTAGCGAAGGGTGGGGTATAAATCCAATCTCGTCTTCTTCATCTTCTTCCTCCTCCTCCATTGCCGGCCTTTACATAGCAACCCTGGCATTCCTTGGTGGTCTCCCTTCCAAGTACTAACCAGGGCTGACCCTGCTTATCTTCCGAGATCTGACAAGGTCAGATTAACCTAGGCCATCCAGGTAAAGGTTGATCGTGTTCCTAAGTAGTCCACGTATTCTGTGCTTTTCGATTCTTCCAAGGTGCACGAGGTGCCGGTTCTGGGAGGTGTGTTTGTGTGTCTGTCAGTTCTCCTACGCTGTGATCCTTGGAGAGAGCAGAGAGTTCCCCTGTAGGACAGACAGATGTCCCTGTTTTTTGACTCTGGAACTTCAGAGGGGACTTGGCGGCTGCTCCTAAGGCAAGGACTGGCAAACAGGAGGCAAAGTGGGGAGCAGTGTTCCCTCTAAGCTGAGTTAGTGTGAGCCGGCTCACAGTTTCTTAGCCTCCGGCTCACACATTTTTGTCTTGGCTCAGGAAGGAGGGCTCCAGAGCAAACGAATTGATGCCGTAGCCAAATCGCTCGCTCACAGTAGCTCACAAAGTAGAATTTTTGCTCACAGGACTCCACAACTTGGAGGGAGCATCGGGGGGGGAGAATCCCATTTTCCACTTGGCTCCCTGGGCCAGACAACCCAGGCTTTCCTTTCACGGTGACTAGTTAGACAAGGCCTTATTGGCAGGCAGAGGTGCCTGGAGTCCCAGCTTGTGGGGAAGCGTCACCTTTGAAAGAAGAAGAAGAGAAGAGATTGGATTAATACCCCGCCCTTTCACTACCCAAGGGACTCTCAGAGTGGCTTACAAACTCCTTTCCCTTCCCCTCCCCACCACAGACACCCTGTGAGGTAAAAGAAGAAGAAGAGGTTGGATTTATACCCCGCCCTTCACTACCCAAGGGACTCTCAGAGTGGCTTACAAACTCCTTTCCCTTCCCCTCCCCACCACAGACACCCTGTGAGGTAAAAGAAGAAGAAGAGGTTGGATTTATACCCCGCCCTTCACTACCCAAAGGAGTCTCAGAGCAGCTTACAAACTCCTTTCCCTTCCCCTCCCCACAACAGGCACCCTGTGAGGTAGGTGGGGCTGAGAGAGCCCTGACAGAAACTGCTCTTTTTCAAGAACAGCTATGCCAGAACTACGGCTTGCCCAAGGTCATCCAGCAGGTGCAAGTGGAGGAGTGGGAAATCAAACCCGGTTCTCCCAGATTAGAGTCTGCGCACTCAACCACCACACCAAACTGGCTGATTGAACCTGGAAGGAGCCGCGCTTCCAAATCCTCACTTTTTGCATGCTGTGCCTGAGCCAGATCCTGTTGCTGCAGACATGCTGTGTGGGAGCAGAAGTAAGCATCTTTTTTTGAAATCCCCTCTGGGTCATGGCAAAGTTGTGTGAAATTTCGGTCAGAAAGGAAGAGTCTGCTTAGATCCACCAAAGACGTGTGTCTCTCTGGCTTCTGTGCAGAACTCTTTGTATGTGTGGCTTAGTTCTCAAGGGGGCAAAACACACTTCAGGGCAGGGAGGGGGGGAAGCATGAGATGACTGTTACCCGGGCACAGAATTTGGACAGCATTTATAGCTCAGTACGAGAATGTAAACATCTGCCTTCAGCATCCTGTTTCCCACAGTGGCTCATCAACAGAACATCTGTTGAACATCTTGTACCTCTGTAGCAGCTGGGATGGAAAGATAACCCACCTTTGAACAGACTAGAGAGGTTCCTTTTAGCTGGCATGGCTCTAGAGCCATGGCTAGGCCAGTCTTCCATGATAAGAAGAGGAGATTGGATTTATACCCCGCCCTTCGCTA